CACCGAATCGAAATCCAATGATCCAAATTTTTGTTGATTGTTGACTGACCTGAAGGCTAGTTTGACTCTCTGACATAGCAGACTTGGGTTAGTACTAGCTGATGATTGAAGGTAAAATGAAAATATGAATCGCGGCAAGATTCGAACCACAGACCACAGTGTTTCTTACTTGTTGTACTGTCAGCGTAAAAATCCTCTAACATCTTTAGTCGCAACAGTATGAAGTGGTATAAAACTTAGGATACATACTTTGTATTATCTCCCTCCAAAACACTAAGTAATGTTGACAGACAGACGGATAAAACGAATCCAGAATCTGACACACAAGTTTATCACTTCAAAATACAGTACTTCATAACAACAAGCAAAAAACAAGTGGATGAGAAAGGAATCATTTCAAAGTAGACGTTAGAAGACATTAAACGATGAATACGTCCAGTCATCGTGGTTTTAGGATCCTCAGCCTTCTTTCAACATAGTCACTGGCTCCATATGCGTAGGATATACTTCAGCCAGTTCATTCAGTGAAGGTTCACAATCTCATCTACTAATCTGCCTTTCTTACACAGTACCCTTCACTTAAGCCTCAATATTTCTTACATGATGGTTTCATTATAAGTGAGAAATACTGCAAAGACTTCTGTGATTAAAAACTAACAGCTATTCTTTCAGTAATACTGATGAAACCAAGTTAAAAAGGGTTCGTTCATTTTTCTGTACCAATTTCATAATCTCATTGTATAATATTAATGTACAATAAATAATGATTATGTATAATGATACAGTAGTTGTATACAATATTAAAGAAAAGTTAATTAGTTTCTCTCTAAAATATAATTTATACAATATTTTGAAAAATAATTTCTTCATTTACTATCGAATGATCCAGAAGTCGCCATTTTGCGTTGTAGTAACAATTTCTGAAATCGAAAAGACAATGAAAATATCAAGATGATTTCTACTTATTTGTTTTATATAAATAGTTTATTTCCTTAGACTATTTTCATTTTTTACCTGTACAAATTATTGAAGAGTTGGTTAAATGAAAGTAATCGGTGATAGGAAGCTCTGTTCTCGAGAAGTTTTGTACTTTTTGGCACTCATCAGCAAGACAATATCATTAAACATATCAATGGAATTGATCTCCCGTCTAAGTTTCGAGTTAAACACCGAAATAGGTCATTGATAATGCCTCTGACTATAGCCCTAGGTAATGCTGATTTGAATCTCAAGTGAGACATCCATTCCATAGAGATCATAGATGTATCTTGCTGACGTATACCAATGAGCTCGAAACCTTGGTCAAGGAGGACTTCTTATCGACTTCCTACATTTAAATACTATATATCTTAGCGCATCACGATTGTGAGTCTCCCAGCCTGGTGACCATATTGACATATGTGATAGGTAGAGTTCAGTTGGCACTTAAAACTTCCCAACATGAAGTTGGTTATCCTTCTGTGAGCATTTAATGTATTACTGAAGATTGTGGCATCAGTGTTTAGAAATAATTCTTCTTTTCGAAACGTTATTCATTTGTGTAGAATAGAAAATTTTCCCAATATAATTTTTCTTTGAAGTTACTCTTCATCACGTTTTTATGCGATATTTAACCTCTGAAAAATGTAACGATCCTGTAGATTTTCAAAGTCTGAATACTACAGGTAGACATGTAGACTGTTGAAGCTCTTTCGGGGAAGACTTTGAACTTTGTAGATCATAAAGAATATGCCTGTGTTTAATCGCAATATTTAGCTAGACTAACTATGACTCCACTTTAATTGGTTTATTGGATAAATCATACTGTGGGACCGTATTGTCTACTGGATGACGTTTCAGACACATTTTGGTGTTCATGATCATATGAAGATGGGTACACAACTTTGAGATATGGTTTAGATAATTCCAATCCTCCTGACTTCTATGTGATATAGTTAGTAGGATTTTTCATATATCCGGAACAGGTGCTGAGTCATTCCTGTTGCATATGTTTGATAAACAAGGATTCGGTTATCATTCTTCCTCTCCATCCTGTTGTGTTAGTTTTAAAAATTTTCCCCCTGTTTCATCCTATTGTTCAGTTGTGTATAAATGCTTCATAGCTATAGTCGAGCTCTTTTCTCGACTCTTTATCATACTGGAATCGACTAATTTTTGATTCACCTAAGCTGTTTCGTGTTTGAATAGTCTAACTGAATCTGCTCGACTACTATGAGCTATGATCTTGACCTATTGATATAGTGTGCAGGAAGATTGACAAAATCTTCGCAAGAAGCCGCATACACTTGAAGCCTTTTCCAACCAATCGCTTGACTTCGAAGTTTTGGCAAAAACACGTGAACTAACGTGTAAGTATCAGGTTGGCTGAAGAGATGAAACTTCAGTAAACGTTGCGGTTTTAAATATGTCATTCTATTCTATCACCGCCTTTTCTGTTGACGGAGAATGTGAGTGATCTACAAGAAGGGGGTGGGGGTGGGGGGGGGTGAATTTCAAGGTTATTATCGTGACCTCCGCACATATACATAAATCAGGCCACATCAAGTCACTGTTTAAAATGTTGTACGATCTCCAGGCAGAATCTACATCCATAAGTCCTCAGATTTTGGAACAGACTCTTAGTAAGTGCTTCAACGACGGACATGATGAAGATAGAAATGAGTTTAAGGAGTCTGATAATATTGTTCATGATAGGAACCCTTTCACTGTCAATACGAAAATAATAAATGATAAGGATATTAGATTAGTTCACGTTAATGAAGACCAAGAAGTACATGCAGAAAGGTCTGTAAAATGATGTAATCTGTTTAGTGCCATCCAGCCTTTCTACAACTATACCTCACAATGAAGGTCCACAAGAAGTTATCAAAGCTTACCAGTACAAGTCCAAACATCAACGTCAACAGCTAAAATGGGGTTCAAAGTCTCTGAATACATATCGGACGAGATAGTTGCTTTGAATGATAGTGGATTACTCTATCAAAGACAACTTTTGTGCATACGAGAAAATGGATATCAGGATCGTTTGCAAGCCAGTTTCACTTCAGAAATCACTTCCACTAACCAGCGAGTAACTTAAAAAATCTCGAATCCACTAAAATTTACATATCGCTCACAGTCTATCAGGTTGTCGGAAGTAAGCTACCGGGGTACTATACTATTGTGTCGCCTATAGCTACTTATTGCACAGTGGAGTACCTTATCACTCATATCAACTACATCTAGGTTTATTCTGATCCAAACTGGACACAAGATCTCAGAGTGTCGTCTGTAAGACTCAGGCTTGTTAACAAACAGAACCGGAACAGTATGACAGTAATTTCTGATCAGAAAGCCTAAATGAATTTGATTTATTGAAGTTGGAAAATTTATGTAACGATTTCACTGTTAAAAGTCACATGGCAACTCTGAAATCCGCACAACTGGTTCGAATGAAATTAAAGCATTTTCTGAGAATTCACTGCCGTACAATATTACGATTCCATATCTAAAACTAGACGAAATGTTTTTCGAAATACTTATCAGTTTATTTTTTAAGGGGGGAGGAAAAGCTTCATGAAACACCCTTCTCCAAAGTATCAGCAAATCATCTTCATCATTTCCAACTGCTTTTCATTTACTTCAAACTACGTCACAGCAGAGATACAGCCGAAAAGTATTCAGGAATAATTTCTCATAACCTGGATAAACGTTACCAGTCAATGACAAGACGTCGCTGTACTGTCAATCTCTATTTCAAGGGGAAAGGTGTTATAGTGTGCAGGAAGATTGACAAAATCTTCATCAGAAGCCGTATATACTTGAAGCCATTCCTAACCAATCGCTTTGCTTTGAAGTTCCGGTAAAAACACGTGAAACAACGTGTAAGTATCAGGTTGGTTGGAGAAACAAAAAATGAATAGAATTTAAATCTAGTAAGCCTTGAAATAGCCTAAACCATGGTAATATATGTAATTTTTACATATTGTGAACGGTGATGTTATAAATACACCTTCTCTTCTAATAATGCCTTTCTATTTACGAAGAAATTGAGTAACCAGTAAGGCGCAGATGAGGATAGAAGGTTATTATCCAACCTCCGCATAAATCAGGCTATATCAATTCATTGTTCATAAACAGAAAAGTGGTGACAGCCATTGCAAGACGATTTGGTGAAGTAAATTGTTCTGCCTAGTTGGATCATACCTAATGTCTCTGAGATGCCTTTCTTGTATGATAATAGTGTAGGGATTTTTTCGATTCTCTTTCATCGTCTTACCGTTATTATCAGTATTTACATTTTTGTCACCACTATGAGTCTTCAATGCATCTTATTTCACGTCTCACGTCTTCTGTTTTATCTCTAAGTTTCTTGGCCCTGTTACTTAGACACTTAACCAAACCTACTGTAATTGACATAGGATGGCTGAAGGATGATTTGAAATATAACTAACGGCTTGGGTGTGAAGGTTTTCTAGAGACAATCACCTCTAAACTCCTGTTTGATCCCAGTTTTTGCTTGTAATCCAGCCTAGTTCCCCTTCATCACTTTCTAATTCATAAGGAAGTTGGTGTAACCAACCTTCACCTATGTGCTTTGATTTAAACTCTATGTTTTGACGCAGGACTGAGTGTTTCAAGGGCCACCTATTGTTGACTATTCATAAATGTATTTGCCACGATAGGGGATATTGTTGATTCCATGACAACTGCTACTGTTTGTCTGCATACTTTATGCTGAATATTAAAGACCATAAAAGTCAGGTATCATCATATTTGATAGTGATTAGCAGTATACTTGTGAGTTGCCTGTTTTTACTATCAAAATTTACCATTTATCTTAAGGATTCAAAACCCATCTTAAATTCTCCAGTGTCCGATTTCAGAAATGAAATTATTCACGTTCTTAATATATTAGGTAGTAATTACAATTTACACTCAAAATTTCGATAAGAATACAAAGTCAGTGACAATAATGTATTTGAAGTGGTAGATGTACGATTCCAGTTTGATAGGTGAAGTTATATCTAGGTGAATGATCTGATCAAAGACAAAAGCAACATTAATTGGTCAATGGTGAGTACTGTTAGGATTCAAACGCATAGTTAGGCAGATAGATAGATAGACAAGAAGGTAGGTAGGTAGGTAGGTAGGTAGGTAGGTAGGTAGGTAGGTAGGTAGGTAGGTAGGTAGGTAGGTAGGTGGGTAGGTAGGTAGGTAGGTAGGTAGGTAGGTAGGTAGGCAGGTAGGTAGGTAGGTAGGTAGGTAGGTGTGTAGGTAGGTAGGTAGGTAGGTAGGTAGGTAAATAATATCAGGATGTGGCCTTGCATTACTATTTAATAGTTTCTAGCTGTCACACCTCACATCAACACTTTAAGGTACAAGCCGCTAAGATGAAAGATAGAGAAAAAGAGAATGAAGTAGTCAAAGGAGTGGAAACTTAACAAATGACAGAAGGAAAGAACGAGACAATACCGAAATTTGTTGCGATGAATAAAATGAAAAGAATGTGTGAATCTATCTTTCCCACTGATATCAATTCTAAGCCATACCATCTAGAGTGTCTAACCAGTACGTATCAGAAATCCATATGACTAAACAGTCTGATAAATTCCTTGAGTACAAATATCAATCAATAATTTCATATTCCTAGTTTAAATTTCTGCTTTTGAATGGTGTCACAAGGATTTGGGCTCTGTTAGAGGATGAATGAATTGCCACAAAGGAACAATGGTGGTCAACCACATTCTTGGCTATTGATCATTCAATTTAAGAAGAATTTACTTTGAAGGGATCTTAAAAATTCATTGAATGCCCTGGTGAAAACACTTCAGCAATCATAATCAGTATGTGGATTTTAAGAGATTACACCGAAAGAATCGATTTCATAGACTAAATGTAGCAAATCGTTAAGAAAACAATTAACACAGAGTGATCCCTTATTGGTGCTCAGCACGGATCGTAGTCTATTCATCAAGTCTACACTACAACGGCATAAGCTGTTGGTAATACGGTTGTTCAGTGCGTTGTGTTTAGGTGCTGGATAAGAAGCTACTGTTGTAAAGGAGTCAGTCACATACGGTTTGAGTAATTTAGTAGTACAGTCTCCAATCACAGCACTGAATGGTCAAGTGTCAACAAGCGCCAAGTTGAAATGATAGAGGGATACTTGCAAATGATATTGAAGACCAGATAGATTAGTTTGTGTGAAATATACCCATCATGATACAGCAGAAGGACAAGTATATTTCAGCTAAGAGTGTGATTTCAGTAATTTTATTTTCAAAGCTGTATACAATGGAAAATTTATATTCTTTTTTCTAGTTTAAGCATCTGATAGTTAAAAATGGTTTGTCAACCATGGCAGGCAACACAAATAGTGTTCGTCATGTAAGATATCACTAACATAGATAACCCAATACAACTGTAATCAATGGTGAATATTATTAACAAATTAGTCTGGACAAGAAGAGGTTTCATAATATGGTGACATAACTGGAAAAAAAATGTGATTAGGTAGAGCATAGTGAAAGGAATGAGTTGCACATTACTTAGGAAGTGAATAGTGTCAAAAGAGGGAAAGGAAAAGAAACGGTCGGAGTTGGATAGAGGAGATTTCAAAGACTGACAACTGAAACCATGAAAGGAGAAGAGGTTGAACAATCTGCTTTCACGTACACAGTTCACATTTCTTCATATGGATGACAAGAGCTCCAGTGATACAGAGAATACGAAGATATACAGTCTCTAGAAGGTTTCTTTTAACGAGGAGGTTCTTGAAATAGGGTGATTTGTGTTCACGATGTGTCCAATTATACCACTCCTTATCTCTCAATTGTCAGCTCTAAAGAGGAAACCATGTGGGATAGTCTTCTTCAACCCCTTTGAATGACAGTCGCATCGAACAACCTATATACCTGACTGGACAAGAGCACGTGAATTGATATATGTACAAAGAAGTGATCAGGTGTGATAGTTTCACCTTTGAGTTGTTAGAAGTTGTTGAGTGACAAGAGAATGCTAGTCTCAGAGTTGATGCAAAGAATGTTCTCCACAGAGTGTTTGATATCTTCCTGTTTAGAGTGTCAGTGATAGAATCACCTTTGAAATTGCGATTCATATCCAGTGTCTTTTTTGGTAAGGTGATAAGGTTCTCTTTGAGAGGTTCAGACTTGATGTTTTCGCCTATGAAGTGTGGTGGGAATCCGTTTTCAATCACTATGTTTTTTAGAAAAGAAATTTCTTCTGACACATAGGAATTGTCACGCTTGAAGTGAATGATATGATTAATTTTCTTAACGACCGTATCAAGAACCATGATTGTCCGAAATGGTTTAGGAAAGCTCCACGTTGAAATAATATTTATCCAAATGCTAAGTCTTTCAAACATCAAACAATGAACCATATTGACTCCATCATCTTACAGATCCTACAGTTAGAACAAAACATCTCACAATGATCCTCTTCGCTCCTCAAATCATCGTCAAATGTATACAAATTATTCACTGCATATATCACCACAATTATCAATAAGCGAATAAAATCAGTACAGTCAAACTTATTACGAGGTCTCAAATCTGCCGAAATCCAGGGTAAATTTCCTGTTGATCCCAAAATATTTGTATTGAATCACTTTTTATAGTCACTTTTCAAATTACAGTTAGATGCCTTGTCGTTTCGGCCAGCAACAGACTTCATACATGTAAACATGTACCACAGTGCAAAAAAAGACACTGGATATGAATCGCAATTTCAAAGGTGATTCTATCACTGACACTCTAAACAGGAAGATATCAAACACTCTGTGGAGAACATTCTTTGCATCAACTCTGAGACTAGCATTCTCTTGTCACTCAACAACTTCTAACAACTCAAAGGTGAAACTATCACACCTGATCACTTCTTTGTACATATATCAATTCACGTGCTCTTGTCCAGTCAGGTATATAGGTTGTTCGATGCGACTGTCATTCAAAGGGGTTGAAGAAGACTATCCCACATGGTTTCCTCTTTAGAGCTGACAATTGAGAGATAAGGAGTGGTATAATTGGACACATCGTGAACACAAATCACCCTATTTCAAGAACCTCCTCGTTAAAAGAAACCTTCTAGAGACTGTATATCTTCGTATTCTCTGTATCACTGGAGCTCTTGTCATCCATATGAAGAAATGTGAACTGTGTACGTGAAAGCAGATTGTTCAACCTCTTCTCCTTTCATGGTTTCAGTTGTCAGTCTTTGAAATCTCCTCTATCCAACTCCGACCGTTTCTTTTCCTTTCCCTCTTTTGACACTATTCACTTCCTAAGTAATGTGCAACTCATTCCTTTCACTATGCTCTACCTAATCACATTTTTTTTCCAGTTATGTCACCATATTATGAAACCTCTTCTTGTCCAGACTAATTTGTTAATAATATTCACCATTGATTACAGTTGTATTGGGTTATCTATGTTAGTGATATCTTACATGACGAACACTATTTGTGTTGCCTGCCATGGTTGACAAACCATTTTTAACTATCAGATGCTTGAACTAGAAATAAGGGTATGAATTTGCAACTTTACAGGTAATTTGTCACAATAGTTTAGCTGTTCCTGGAAATAGTTAACTGTGAATGGCGATCTAGATAAAATCGGTGTCACTGTCTGCTTCAATCTAACCAATGAATCAACGAAAATATTGTTGTTCCTACTTTGCTCAATATAGACAATCCAATCTACCAAGAACAGGAATGTCCTTTCTTGGCCGTTTCATTACCGATTCATAAAAGGCATCCATCTTTATTTGTACCCATCAGTAATTTCATTCTAGACAGTCTAAAATTCATACGTTTCCTTAAATCACTATTGGTGTTTATCACATGCACAAATGAGTATATCGCTATCGACTTTGTGATGAGTATTTCCCCATCCGATGATGTGCATCTACGATCATCATTTGTACTACTTGTCTCCCACTTTGTTCAGCTATTTTCCATCCCATTGGACAATTAATCGGTGGTCTACATCTGATACTCTTCGGTAGAATATACTGACGTAGCGACTCATGGAGAAAAGAATAGTTGTTCTTTTGTGGAAGCTTGCTTTTTGGAGAAGTCTTCTCATCTTCGAACAGCATGAAGCATGTCACGCTCGTATGATTTTGAAACGGTAGAGAATATTTTTAGCTCATACTGAAGTTAGTGCTGATGATATCATCTAGAAAGAGGATGAAAGCTTTGGGATTAAATAACCCAGCTCAGAGAACACAACACAACCAAGACTTTGTGATGAGTGTTAGTCACTTTTTCTTTTGTAGAAAGGTCTTTATTTGAAACACATAACATCAAGTAATCATCCAATTCTTACTTAAAAATCCCACAGTAATGGTCTACTGTCTTTGAATGGTCTGAAGTGAACGAACAGATCAGTCCATTTCAAGAACTTGTGTAGATGCCACAATATTATCGGTAGTTTAAGTTTGATGCGAATAACGGATTATGACCAGCAACCGGATGTGGGCTACTGGACTGCTGGATGCACCTCAGTGGTATGCTGGGCTCAATGAAACTTAAGCCCATCATAGATTGTTTCAAAGCTGACATACCATCCAGTGGGTTGTTGGGTTAAGCCGGTTACTTCAGCTCATTAGTTTGTTTTACTAATTTGATTGGCTCATGAGTAGGAGGTTTACGGTGTTAAACTGCTCTCAAGTCTGAACTCTCATTGGTTGTTAGTGTCGTCAAGGTCATTTAGAAGTGTATATATTCAGCATCACTCTCAACTGTTTGGCTGTGGCTGAGAAGGTAAAAAGCACTCTGTCAACAGTCCGTCTTCTTTTCTTGTCTTCAGTTGTCGGTGGTGGTTGACGTACTGATTAGAATTTAAGGTTGATTTGTTCACGTGTTAGGCTCGTATCACTTGTAGACTGTTGGGTGGCACTACCGATCAAAGAAGTTTTTCAAGCTTGGTATACACTAAATCACTTAGAAACAAACAAGAAGAGAACGATGAACTATTGTTGAAGTCTACAGAGTAGTGAAACTGATCAACTTTCAGACAGTTTCCTTCACAGTCTCAGTCCTCGAGGATTCATCAGAAAAGTTATTGAGACACAGATCAAAGGATAAAAACCATTCTGTCATGCACAGGATTAGGGAAACAAGGAACTTTCTAGAAGTCTCAGTTATTTACCTGTACATTTTTGAGCATTTCTTCAATATTAGTTAGTTGATTTTGGAAATCTTCTTGATGTAACGAAATTTCGGCGACCCGTTCATAAACATTTGTTTGTAGCTGTAAAACCAAGATAATAAATACTTGAATATGGTTACGACATAAAGCATAAAACTGATACACACACTGATTAATCCCTGGGGAGTGACCAGTCTCATGTTGTCAAATCCTGAATGCTAAAGGAATCCTACTGATCATTTTGTAATATGATCCACAGGCTAGGAGATTCACCATACCAATATCATTTCGTTTGATTTCCCTTGTTAGTATTCATCATGCTCGAATATCAGGTGAAGAAATACTGGAAACCTGGGAGCACTGGCCAACTGTTTCGTCCTACTATGGGACCTCTCAGCAGTGCGCATTCATGACCCGGCACATCCAGAGATCGAACCCATGACCTTAAAGTTACGTGGCCAGCACGTCACCATTGGTTTATATTTCCTACTTCTGTCAGTTCACGGTGTGGCGCGATCATCAATGAATGTCATCGCTGACTATTGGATTCCGAAACAGTGGCTAGCTCAATGGTAACGTGGTGGTAATAGAACCTGACGGTCCTGGGTTCGATCTGTGGGAGTGCGGGGTCATGGGTGCACACTGCTGAGAAGTTACATAGTAGAGCAAAACAGCTGTTCAGTGTACCTGCAATTAATGTTAGTCCATGATGAATACCAACTTGAAAAATCACTAAATCCCCACAAACCCCGAAATTCTTTTGCTTCATGCTAGATCGCTGAAGGAAATCAATAGGATTTTCTCTCAACCGTCTGACATCTTTCACAGCTCATATATATGCACACTTTTATTCATGGTAAATTGTAAATTAGCAAGAAGAAGGTGATAATGCATACCTGACATATTTTACTCCTATGTCAACTCTGTGTTCCAGAGGATAATTCTCATGTATCATAGGCATGAACTAGAAAAGAGTTTCAAAATAAGACAGAACGGTGGTTTGATACTTTCAGGTTTTGGTGTTGGACGGTGGAAGTCAAGCGGCATGAAGCCATGAACCTGCGTTTCACACCTGTTGACACTCATCAGCAGGGCATATCTTTATCTTTTCGATGACTCAGACCTGCTTAACTCACTGATATAGTCACATACTTATTCACTAAGCAGTTTTGACTACAGCTGATGCCTTTTAAAACTCGATTATGCCCATCTAGGTGTTTACCAGTACACTAAGCAATCGTAATCTGTGTTCGAACTTATTCTGAAACTACTTAGATGTTTGGATATATAAGTGAAGATTGTTTATCAGATAGGTAGAGTTAGACTTGATGATAATGATGAATAGTTCCTAGCAACTGAATCAGGGACATGCATTTCGTCAGCCGCATATATCTTCCTTCAAGTGGGTAGTACTATTCTATCTATGGCTTGAGTGCGAAGCTGTTTTCTGACGCATTAGCGTTATACGCTTTACTTATGAGTCACAATAGTTACTGATACTGAACCATGTAAATATTTTGTGTTATTCCTTGCGATTTCCCGCTGTTTACTGGACAGAACTGACCAGTGTCTATTAGCTTACATTGCAGTTATAGGTATTTTGGTATCAGTAACACAAACCACCTAAGCTTTACATAGATAAGACTATTTTTAATTTACCTGAACAACAAAAGGAATTGTGTTGAAGATGCATTTGAAGATGACGAAATATTGCTGCAACTCAGTAACCTCTTCCAGTGGACTCTAGTGTTTACAATAAATCATGCTTTTCTGAGCCTCAATGAAGAGAACTTTACTTAGGTGAGTGAATTGCAGATGAACTACAAAACATGTTGTCAGAATATATTTAAAAATTTTATGCTACTTATATAATTTGTTAGTAGGCATTTTGTTTCTAACAAATAATTCTTAGGATTTGATTTGCTACAATGCCAATTAATTTAACATTCTGAACCTAAAAGTCAAACAGCTAGAGTTCATTCTTTGTACTACAAATGTACCGATAAAATAAATTATGCTACTTAGTAATGTTCCTAAATAGGTACTTCACAGATATTATTTGGATGGAGGCTATCATCAAGAGGTTTTATTCCACCTAAGTCTCTTAGTTTTTGGTACTTATCAGCTATTCACTGGCAGCGTCTCCAACTGCAACAAAAGAAGACGAGATATTGAATCTCAGGAAGAGGGTTATCATACCCGTAGAATTTGAAGATATATCTTGCTGAAAAAATGCCAACAAGGAAGAGATAAGCTTGATGAGGTCATTCTGGGCACTGACTCAGTCTAGACAACCTGTACCTCAGAATATTGCCATTGGAAGATTTCTGCCTTGGTGGCTACAGTTGGGTCAGCTATAAGCACCACAAAAGGTTTACTTGGTTACCTTCAACTGACTGAGGTTAATCAAATAAATATATTTCAAGTGATTAGCTTAGGATACACTGTGTTGAAACAGTCATTAACAATGTAGTTTTACATCAAATTTATTGTTCCCATCGAAAGAGAAAGAAACAAAATTCTGTCGATTGTAAAATGCAACTAATCATAATAAACTTGTGTAAATCATCATGAAAGTTTTTCATGTTGTCACTTCGGATGTTAAGATCGTTTTTTAGATAATCTGAACCACTTTTTTTTCTGAAGTAGTAATGAAGACTCACATCCTTGTAGATATTTATGTAGCTTCGTATCTCATTCTGCTATGGAAAATTTTAACTCTAATTATTGGAACCAACTTTCAGTCATTTCATCGGGGATTTATAACCATGAATTCCTGTTATCTCATGGACTGCAAGCAGGTAGTCTATATCTACTTACACTGTTCAGACTAACGGTGAACGACTAAGGGGAATTTCGCCGTAACTTCATTTGATCACCCTTAGTATTGTTCCAAACCAATCATACATTAGCTATCACTGCACGCAGAGGTAGGCGATAGATATGATAGATATGTCCAAGCCATCACAGCTTTCATAGAGTGGACTACCTTTAATTTACCAGAGTAACAAAGATTGGTTTATCATTTGACTTTCTGAGATAGCCGTAGTTTGGCAGATTAGTATTTATACTGGGCGATGATCGAAAGTGGAATGAAAATTTAGACGACGCCCGGATTCAAACCAGGGAACGTCGGGTTTCCAGCTCGATACTCTACCAACTGGGCTACGAAGTTCGACTGCTGACCACATTTTTATTCCACTTCAGTTGCTAATCAGGACTTCTCACTCCGATTCAAATCTAACTGAATTAGAGAGGGGTCCAAAGATTCATTTCACCTTTAGTCATCTTCTAGTGAGAGATGATTGACGTCACATAGTTAAATGATAACCAATATGATGCTCAGCCTCTCTAATTCAGTTACATTTGGATCGGAGTAAGAAGTCCTGACTGTTAGAAGCCAGTGTGAATACGATCGAGCGGTAGTAAGACATCATTAATTCACATTGTAGTTGGGAAAAACCTATGGTGGCTGAAGTGAAGTGGTCACCAGTCGGACCTCGCAACTCAGTTGATGCAGCATCGGGCCGGAACCCCCATGTTCATTGCTTCAAATCCGGCCGTGGTCTGGAGTCTCATTTCACCTTCAGTCATCATCCAGTATAAAAAAGATTTGTTTCAGCTGATCAAAAACACTCCAGAAAGTTATAAACCGTTGAACAAGGCTCCTATGTTTTAAATAAAGTCTGCTAAGTTTGAGGCTCAATGAAAAAATCTACCTAACCTCACAGGTAACAGAAGGAAACACTATGTGAATTCATTTCGTGAATATACTTATGTTACTTGCATAATTTGTTAGTAGTCAGTTTATTTTTGTTAAATATTTCTCACTTTCTTTTGAATACTACAGGTTATCGACAGTGGGAATTAATTTGACATTCTGGGCTTAAAGGTCAAATAGCTAGAGGTCAACTTTTATACTTTATATGCATCCCTGAAAAAATTTGGACTAACCGACAGTGTCCTTAAAGAGGTACTATGTATCAGACCTAAGTTGGATGGAAGCAATCGGTAAGAAGCTTTGCTTCACCCAGATAGGTTACAGATCTGTTCAGTGAGTGGTAGCGAAAATTGCTTCCCCCACACACAACCAGAAAATTACCTTAAATGCTACAGTTCAGCGAAAGTTCCATATTAGTTAGTTTGTTCGACAAAAAGCAACCCAACAAACAGAATCAGCCCATAAAGTTTTGCTCTAATATGCGAAGGATGAAATAAGCTGCTATTGTGAGTTTGATCAGTATGCAGTGTGAAGAGATTATCGCTCTCTTGTACTAACAGAAACTGATGAAATATTGAAAAACATCATAGGAAAAGGGAGAAGATGATTGCTGTGAAGAAATATTTGTCTTTTCAACGAAGCATACAACAGCTATATAATGTTATATGTTAAATGATTCAAAATGGAGACCTTAGTAATGCCTTTTAAGTGAAGACAGGAGTAAGACAAGACAAGGCTACCTACTATCACTGATAATCTTCCTGATTGTGGTCGACTGGATCATGCAGCAAACTGTGAGGAGTGAGAAGATGCGCATACGCTGTTTGACCGGTGAAAAGACCCTACAAGATTTGCATTTCCCTGCCAATGATTTATGTCTAGTCTCTAATATCGCACAAACTCGAAGATTTACAGGCGAAAACTAGCAAGTTGGCAGAAAAGGCGAGGCAGCGAAGGAAGACGCGACTTTCTTCAGGCGAACGTAGATAAGACACAGGTGATGAAGATACCCAACCAACAACAACAAGCACCAACCACCATGAACTGGGGAAATCTATAGGAAGTTGTCTCTTTCATTTACCTACCTAGTAAGCAGCATCATTGCAACTGCAGGCAGTGGCACATATGAGGATGTGAAGGCCAGGATCAGAATGATAGCAAAACAGGTCTTCCTTCATTAGTCTGAAATCAGTGTGGAGATCTATCATACTGCACTGCACTCAGCATCAAGAACTACATGCAGATTTTCAACACTAAGTGAGTCAAGTGAGTGCCTCCCTGTGATGGTTCACAGACTTGGAGTGTTACATACAACATTTTCAACAAACTACAGACATACACGAACAGCTACCACCTACGCTCACTCGATACTGAAGATCAA